CCCGTAGTATTACTTATTAGCCCAAGAAATTTAAATGTTGAAAATAGTCTCTCTGTGTACCTTGATTTTTGGTGTTTGGTGGTTCTTTCATTAAAAAAATCTAGATTTTTATCATTCATTCATTCTTTCACTCAAGAATAGTTATGGTGTGCTTACTACATGTCAATGCACTGGGTGTAATATAATGAATAGAGAAATATGATCCCTGCCCTTTGGAGGGGATTGGAAGAAAAATTGTCTAAATAAAATCTTTGTTAACCTAAGAGGGGGAATTTCCCCCTCAAAGTTTGTATTGGAAAATAGTTTTGAAGACACTGGTATAAAATTAGTTTTCCTGGAAGTATAGAAGAAGTACATAAAGAAGCGAAACATAAGGGATTTGACCAGCAGAATGGTAGTCATAGCTCAAGACTTAAGGAAAATCATAAAAACGAACTACATTGTAAACAAACAAACAAACAAACAAACTCATTAAATGAATAAATTCTTAGTCCTCTATACCATGGAATATAGGTGAGTTTCCCATGCTGGGTGCTTGGACGTTGAAAGTGAGTTTATGAAATTCAGTAAAGGAATGTGAGAGGAAAAGAGGGTCATTCTTGCCAATAGGAGAACCAAAGTGGAGCTTTCACAGGAAGGAAAGAGCAACAGTGTTTTAGCATGTGAGAATCTTTTCATATTTATCTCCAAAATCCTGCACTAAATATAGAAAAGCAGTTGAATCCTAGTGAGTGAAAGAAGTTTTTTGATGCTAGGTTTATTTGAAGTTGTCAAGTTCAGCTTCCTCCTAGGGGGCGGGAGTGAGGGTGGAATTGTGGAGGCGGAAGGGAATGGATAGGAAACTGGTTAAGTGGCCTGCCCAAGGTCACACGATGAGTGAGACAGAACCACAATCATGACCCAGGCATCCTGGCTCCTGCACTAGTGGGGCTTTCTCCACTCGGCCTTTCTCGGTGTCCGCTGTAGCCACCATAAATTAGTCGTACACTCTGACTTCAATCTACTCTACAACCCCTTGGGGGTTTCTGCTTTTTTTCCAACCTCGTTTGCTGTATGTCGCAGACTGATTAATGCTAAGCCCCAGAGAAGGTAGCAATACAGAAATGTAGGCGTCTCCTAGCAATCCTGCATATTTCAGAATGTAAGAATTACAGAGCCAGGTTTTGTTGTTTCCTGGTTTCTGCCAGAAAATAGGAATCCCGAGAGATATTGTAATTAGGACGTAGGGAATTCGGCCCCTCGAATGCAGAATGCAGCGGCAGAGGGACCCTGGTCTCTGGGAGAACTCAAAGCAGCCGACAGGAGACGTGTCAGGAAATCAGGGTTGAAATCCTGGCTATGTTCATTCATTCACTCATGCGTTCAACAAGGATCTGTGTATTTAACGCCGAAGCGTACTGGTTTAACCTGTTATATGTGCCAAATAATCGAACCACTTTAAACGTCATTTATCAGTTTTGTGGTTGCTGTGAAATGTATCTAAAAATATCTGATTGTGGGTATGAGGATTGAGTTAGGATTAAACCGAAAAAGGAAAAAAACGGAATTCAATACGATACTGCAGAACGAATTGCATGGATGAAGGACATGATTTTGCCTCATTAGCGTCTGAGGAGGTGCCACCATCAGCAGACGAGGTGGCCGAGTGGTTAAGGCGATGGACTGCTAATCCATTGTGCTCTGCACGCGTGGGTTCGAATCCCACCCTCGTCGCGAGGTTCTCTTTGGACATCTGCCTGGGTACCTGAAGGCAGTGGTTCCACGAGAACAGCCCCTTTACCGGAATAGTTCCGTATTCGCCGCTTAGTTGTGAGTACGGTCAGTATTTACTGTCAGATGCTTGATTATACTCACGCGGAGTCTCCAGATATTTTTCTGAGGAGGCAATTAGTTAATTGAGGGGCACAGGAAAATATTGCCTAAACCGATATGTACAGCAAATATGTACTTGCAGGATATTTTCAGCCTATTTTTAACTACTGCAATTTTCACCCAGTTTGCTCATTTAAAGTGTCCCCCTTCCCAATAAACTACTTAAACATTACTAAGGATCTCTGGCTTTGTGGAGGAGGGTATGTTGCTTCCCAGGAGAATTATTCGGTCTTCAGTTTTGAACAGAGTAGGAGAGCGGAATACTGCTGTAAGTGACGACAAATGTGCTGTGTAAAGCAGCAGAATGTGTTGTTTCATGTTCAGATGTCTTACCAGGAAGTACAAAAGCGTCTCCTCAGAGGTCCCACCGAGATTCGAACTCGGATTGCTGGATTCAAAGTCCAGAGTGCTAACCATTACACCATGGGACCAACTGAGAAAGTAAGTAACCATCCGTAGTGGTGGTTAAATAATTCCTCCATAATAACTTCGGTAGCTCCAGTGCAAAAGAGTTAGGTCAGGCTTCAGTGCGATAGACACTGAGACAGATAACAGATAATGAAATCTGATGCTTTATTGTTGCTGGGGAAGAGGTAATGGGAAAATTATAATTTGAAGCAATCTGGGCGCTCTCTCTTCCGCTTCCGCCAGGAGCGTAAATTAGCTTTCTGGAAGACCAGCAGGGGCGGATCCAGATTTTTGTGAAGTCTGAAGCTTACACAATTTAGGAGGTCCTTTTTAAGAAAAAGAATAGACATAATCAACACAAAATTAGATACAGCCACTCCAAGGCATGTATGATGTATGCAAGAAAAGTTGGAGTAAAAAGAGGCTGCAGTCTTCACCAATTTCCACTATAAAATACTTTTGGAAGTTTCACAAAAACATCTGTTCATACAGGGCGTCCCCTTTCAGGGCCTTGGAAAGGGCTCAGGCAAGTAAGGTGTCTTGAGGCACTTAGTGAGACTGGATAAATATCCCTCCAAAGAGCAGTTTGGCAATATCTATCAAAATAATCTCTAGCTCAGCAATTTTTCCTTAAAAACTCATCCTATAGAAATACAAAATATTAAAAAAAACTAAAATATATGTCTAAGGATGCTCACTGTAATATTTTGCAATATCAGAAACTTGAAAATGTGTCCATTCACTTAATGGGAATAATAAACATCTACTAAAAAGAATGGGATAGATATATGTACCCACAGGTTGGTTTGACAAGTTTTTTTTTTGCAAGTTTATGATTTTATTTAGTGTGTTAATATCACCTCATTGAGAAGACATGCAATTTTTAAAAGTTGAAGTCAAATTCACATAACATAAAGTTAACTGTTTTGAAGTGAACCATCCGGTGGCAGTTAGGACATTCAGAGTTTGTCCAACAATCTTTATCTAGTTCCCATACATTTTCATCACCTTAAAAGGAAACCTGATACCCATTAAGCAGTCACTGTTCCATTTCTCCTTCCCCTCAACCCCTGGCTACCATTAAAATGCTTTCTGTTTCTATGGATTGATCTATTCTGGATATTTAGTTTAAATGGAGTCATACAGTATGTGACCTTTTGTGTCTAGCTTCTTGCGCTTAACATGTGTTTTCAAGTTTCCATGTTGTAGCCTGTATCAGTACTTATTTCTTTTTATGATTGAATAACATTCACTCGGTTTGGCAAGTTTTTGGAGAGGATTTAGTCTAAGTTTAAAACAAACAAAACCTGGAATGTTCTGAATCGTAATATATAGCATGACCTAATTTTTGTAAGTCATAGTTTATGAGTTTATATATTCATTTTTAAAATAGGTTTGAGGAATATATCCCAAACTCTTGGCATGAGTTTTTCTGAGAAGTGGAATTGGAAATGAAGGAATGTCCCACTTTTTGCCGTGTTCACTTCTGTGATATATATATATATATTTCACGTTAGTAATTAAAAGTGAAAATCCCCCTCCCCCCAAATTTAATGCCCTTCAGTTGAGGACTTAGAAGTCATGTTTACTCCTACGTTCTCAGCATGTCCATGATCTTGGCACGCAGAAAATGAAAGAGGTGGAAGCTAGAATCCCTGACTGCAAAGGATTAGCGGTTGATTAGGGGAAAACCACAAAAGATAATTGCAACACGTTAATAGTGGCTAGGAAAATGAATGGGGCGCTCCATCTCTGTCCTTTGAGGAGCTGATGACTTGGGCACATAGACAAAAATTTTATATACAATTTCATTGGGTTTAGCGACACACCCAAGGCCATTTACAGACCCCAAGGGTAAGAATTTTTGATTTAGAGATTTCGAAACAAAAGAAATATTCTGATTCTTCAGTCTCTTGAATCAGAAATGCCTAAATGTGAGTAATCAATACAGAACGAAGTAGAAGGAAAGAGAGAATAGGGAAAGGAAGCCATTCAGCAATTCAACAAACATTCCTCGAGCATATTATTTACTGAGCGCTCTTAACAAGGCCACAGGGGCACGCTGGGTGGGCAGGAGGAAGGGGAATCAAGGCTGGCACTTGCGATGATTCCTGTGCTTCTAGACCTTCGGCAGAAACCGGCTCCTCAGCTTTTCCCTCTTGAAACAGAGTTTTCTCTGCTTAACTGCATCTACTCTAGCACTGCCAGCCTCATGCATCTTCAAATACTTTGCCTGGCAGAGCACACTGCCTGAAGGATCATGAGCCAGTTGGGAATTTTCTGGTTGCCCCACTCCAGTGACTCGTTAGACTCTGAAAACACGTCCCGATTTTGCTCGTTAGTTTTTTGGGGCCAGTTTCCCGGAGTTGTTTACAGCGTCGTTCACAGAGCCAGAAATGGCATAAATGGCTATTGCTGTAGTTAGGGGAGGAAGATCACTGTATAGGTCTTGATTTTTCCCATCTGTAAAATAGATCTTACAGTTCTTTTTCGAGTCTGATTTATGGTGACTGGGAAAGGAGACGGTGGCTCAAATCTCATAAGAAAAGGCCGGGCGGAGCCCACAAATTCCTTGACTTGACATTCGAGGCAGGGAGGCTCTTTTACGTTTGTCTTAGGATGCCGTGGTGAGTACCGCGGGTCTGAGTGCTAGAGATACGGTTTATCATCGTGACAAGAAAACCCGGAGCAGCCTCTACCCTAGCTCTAGTCACCCCGTGAACCTTTTTTTCACCGAATGACAGAGAACTGGGTAACTAGGGAGTGAAGGCTCTGTGCTTCCCGACCTTCAGGAGTCCCCGGTACCACGACCACCGAGATGAGATGACCACCTGGAATCCTAGAGCGGAACCGGAAGTGAGCGTAGCTCCCCGGGCCTGGCGGGAACGTGCCGGGGCCTGAGGCGAGTGTGTCAGGGGAACCGTTCCCTCGGCTTGGGAGTATTGCCCGCGGCCCGGTTATCTGGCTTGGCGCCAGAGGGGTCAGAGCTCCTCAGAGGTGGAAGCAGCGGCTGAGGGGAGGGTGTGTCTGCGCGGCGACCATCGGGCCTCCTCCGCCGACGGCTCGTGGTGTGGGAGGAGCCCTCACCCCTCAGCCCGGGCCTGGGCTACCCGGAGCGTCGTTTTCGGACAGATCGCTCTGGTTTCCTCGCCGGGGCTCGTACTCCCAGGCTTTATTTAGGGCCAAAGTCTCCTCAGTTTTCCATCTCCCAAGTAACCCCGCAGCTTTAGTGAGTAGTTCTGTGCTCACTATTGTCGGTCTTATCAGAGGATGGCTTCACTTTCAGTGGAATTGCTCAAGTAATTGCCCGGTTGTCACCCAAACAAAAATTTGTTTCAGCTACGTCTGTACTTTTTGTGTGTTAACAGGGTTTTCTTATATCAAAAGCTTTCCTTACCAAGGCGTGGGTGGGGACCTCAAGTAAAACCACCCGTCTGCCTTGCCTGGACCCTAGTCGAACAGTCTTCCTCTGAGCTGAACTAAGGATGGCGGCAGCCCCCGGGGTCCTCCCAGCCCAGGCTGGCCAGGCTTCAGAGGAACCAGGGGAGATTATCCAAGTAAAGGTCAAAGAAGAAGACCATATCTGGGATCAGGAATCCTGCGTACAGAGGCATTTGTCTCACACCAGGGAACTCTCTCGACAGCGCTTCAGGCAGTTCTGCTATCAGGAGACTCCCGGCCCCAGGGAGGCGCTGAGCCGACTCCGGGAACTTTGCCGTCAGTGGTTGAGCCCCGAGATACACACCAAGGAGCAGATCCTGGAATTGTTGGTGCTGGAGCAGCTCCTGACCATTCTGCCCGAGGAGCTCCAGGCTTGGGTGCAGGAGCAGCATCCTGAGAGTGGAGAGGAGGTGGTGACTGTGCTGGAAGATTTGGAGAGGGAGCTGGATGAACCTCGACAGCAGGTGAGAAATTGGAGGTTGGAGGTGCCGTCTTTTGCGGAGAATTTGAGTGCATGGGTCCAAGGTGGGGGAAGCGGGACTAACTTCTCACTGATGGCTGCGAATTCTGGTTCTGGGCATTATTATGTGATCGCTGATGTAGATAAATAGAATCATGCTTCTGGGATAACAGTTTTCATGTAAATGATAGCTAATCCTAGTAAGTAGATCATTTGGCCAAATGGGAAACCTTGGTCTATCTCTTACCAGTAGAAAATATATGTTATTTAGTAACTGTAAGATTAAAGTAGCTATCCCTTCTTATGACATCTACTACTTTTACCATGTATGAAAGCAAATCATTGTAAGAATATGAGGAATACCTTCTAGGCGAGATAAATAGAGAAGCAGCCTAATTTAATGGAAATATCAGGGAACAGTGAATCATAAAATCTGGATTCGATGATAGTCTCACTAATTAGCTATGTAACCTTGGGCATATCGCATCTTCTCTGGGCTTTAATGTCTTCATGTGTGCAATAAAGAGATTAACTGCATCATTTTCTAGAAACTTTTCAGTACTTGCAGTTGTTGATATGTGAGGTGTATTGAGCGCAGTATTCTTTTACCATTACCCTCAAGGTTATTTTTAAGAGCATATACTGCTTTCTGTGACAGTAATTTTAGAACATTATGGATATTGCGAAACACTTACATTTCTGTAATGATACCGTCCATACATTCATCTGAACTCTTTTTGAATATGAATGTTTTATGTATACAGTCTGATTTGTTAAAACACATTTTTCTAGAATGCAAAACCTTTCACATGAGATCAGTAAATAGGGAAATGAGTGAGTGTAATGATGAAATTTGCCGGCTCATACATGACTTCCCAGAAAGTTGACATTTGGGGCCACCAGGTAAGAGCAGCTGAATACAAAGTATGTGACTACAGCGAATGCAGCAAGTTACAAAGACATAACAGTACTGTACATAATGCTGGTTCACCTCCACATCCTTCCTCTTGGCTCTGTTGGCCCCAGTCACTGTTTTGGTAGTGCTTATTTGCATAGTTTCCTCCCATTTTGGTGCACTTTTTGCTAAAGTGTTTTGTATTCCAGAAAATGAGCAAGCAAGGGGGTTTGCAAGTGCCACAGAAGCATCTTGGTGATAAAATTTCTGCTAGTGAGTATAAAACATGAAAAGACTTAACAACTGAAGAAAAGCTCAAAATTATAAAACGTTTTGAGAGAAATGAAAGAACATGTGACACTGATTGTGCATCTGGCATTAGAGTCAACTTCACGAACAATTAGAAACAATGCTGGGAAAATAAACAAAATTTATGTAGCCGGAGCAGCAGCCAGTGCTACAAAATCTGTTAGAACAAGGCTAAGGAAATGGAAGAAATGGAACACTTGTTAAGTGTGTGGATTGAATACCAAACAAAGAAGCAATCAGGGCAACCTTTCTCAAAATTAAAGAGAAGATGTTACCAATATATAAAGACCTTAAGAAGAAAGTGGAAAATCCTGCAGAAGTGCCTTCATTAAGTGCAAGTAGTGGCTGGTTTAGTGGCTTCAAGAACCACTATCATTTCCACAATGTCAAGCTCTCTGGTGAAGCTGTGAGTGCAGAAGCTGCAAAGACATTTTCTCCAGTGTTAAGAAACTTAATTGATGAAGAAGGCTATAACCTGGATCAGACTTTAATTTTCATGAAACCAGTCTCTGTTGGAAGTAAATGCCCTCAGGAGCTTATGTCTTGAAGAAGGAAACATAAACTCTAGTGTTTAAAGCTACAAACAATCAACTGATTGGGATACTGAGTGCAAATGCCAGTGAGGATTTAAAGCTAAAGCCTGGGTAGTATATCACTCTGCCCCCACAAGCTTTAAAAGGAATTGTAATGACTAGCTGGAGGGTTCTGCTGTAGATCTAGCAAGAGAGGCTGGATGACAGGGCAGATATTTACCTATCTTCTAGGTGATGTTTTTGTAGATGATTTTTTTAAATATTGCAAGAGAAACCATTTGTCTTTCAAAATTCTTATAATTCTCAGTGATACAGTTACTGAACTTTCTTCAAATATTAGAGCTCTCTTTTTACCTACTAATATAACTACTTTACTCCAGCCCCTTGATCACAGTGTGATCATAGCCTTTAAAGCTTTTTTTTTTTCTTTTGGTCAATGTAGATATTGGGGATTGAACCCAGGAACTCGTGCATACTAAACATGCTGAGCTATACCTCCCACCCCTAAAGCTTATTATTTAAGGATAACATTCAAGATGTATATTGTACCTACAGGGGGTGATAATGCACACGCAGTGATTGAATTCTGGAATTGACTCAAGATTAAACTTACTGAAATTATTGTGGAGGCCTGGAATAATGTCACAAAAGCCTGCTTGCATGAGGTGTGGTGTAAAATTTTCCCTAATTTAATTTATGATTTTAAAGGCCTTGAACCTTCAGAAGAGTTCCCCCAAATCAAAGCAAGCTGTGTTGCTCTTGCAAAGGAGGTTGGATTTGAAAAAGTTGAGAGTGAAGATACTGAGGCTTAGATGGAAGATGTGCTAAGGTGATGATGCATTTCAAAAAGCTGCCCCACAAGAACTTTTCACTTCTCAGTTATCTTCTGCTTTAAGTATGATAGAGAAGCAGTTGCAGTGGATAGAAGATAATAACTACAATGCAGAACATGGCGGGATTACACTTTGTGCCATAAGGTCCTATTTGGAGCCATATAAGCAGTTTCTTTTTGAAGGAAGAATATTTAAGCAACAAACACAGTGTCAAGTAAAACAAAAACAAGATGATGAGCCCGAACTATCATTATATTTCTTGTAATATCACTACATTTTTGGGAAATGTGCAAATGCTTGTTCACCTGAACTTCTGGTGATGATAGCCTTCCATCCTTGCCTCACCCTTTCCTTACACCTCTTTCTAGCAAGATACAATCACCTTTCTAAGGCAAAATCCTATACTTAATGTAATACTTTTTTATTTTAACAAATCTTTTTGACTATACTTGTGTTTTTACTAGAATTGCTATAGTTTTATTAGTGCTCTTATGACAAAGTTGTGTAGAACTTAGTCTACCCTAAACTTTATTTTCTCCATGATTCCTGTTATTTTTTGTGCAGTTTTGCAGAAAGCATATTTTTTTCATGAGTTCATATGTTATCGCATAGATGCCTGTATAGGCAGTCTCTTACCTCTAGGCAACACACCTTTTCTCTTTGTTTCAAATAAACAATAGTGGTTTTTTCCCTTAAGATATACCTGTTACTTTAAAATTTTTCCTCTTCTAGCTTTGTTGAAAAATGCAGCCATTGGTAGGCCTTGGTGTTTGGTCATTCCTGGGTAATGTTCAGGGTTATGCCCTGATCATATTTGATAGTTTTTCATATGATTCAGGGTTATAGATATTTCTTAGTCTTGTTGAATATCGAGTTTGCATAAATGTTTCTCATTTTTCTTGTTTCTATGTGATTTCTGAAGGAAAGGGAAAGACGCCATTGTTGCAGATGCTTTTAGCCGCCAACCTGATACATACCTCTTCTTCCTTTAAAAATGTTGATTTTGTTCATTTTGGCTATGTACCTAACTAAATACTTTTTGGCTTCCCTTGTACTGGAGTTGGCCGTGCAACATAGTTCTGGCCAGAGAGAAATAGGCATATTTTCTGGGGGTTTCTGGAGAAGTTTTTACTTTCCTTACAAAGTGGCACAAGTGTGTTTAGTTCTGCCTTTTCCCACATCATCTCTTGAATGTGAATGTGATATCTGGAGCTGTGGTAGCCACGATGTGATGATAAGCATGATGACAAATGCCAATATGTTATGAATGGCAGAGCAGAAATATAAAGACAACTAGGGTCCCTGACAAAACTGTTAGGTATGGGAATCAATTCCAGTAACTGCCCTTCTCTGGATTTCTTAACATATGACAAAAATGAACATAGTCCAGAAAACATACATATTGGATGGTGTGACAACTGAATTTATAGATTCATATTTTACAAAGTTAAGTAAATTAACTTACATAAAGGCTGAAAGAAAGAATACATTAGAGCTTTAAATAGGTCCTTATTTACTTCTGGTTTCCCAAGAAAGTGTAACCTAATGAAATGCCAGTGTAACAAACAGTGCCATATGGATGATTTGGAGGTAAACATGCTTTTCTGTTGAAGGCAGTGTTTATTCAAAGTCAGTGGTAATAACTTTTCTTTTTAATATTCCTGCCAGATAAACCTATTTGTGATCATTGATATCCTCTCCTATTCATTATCTTCCTTATTTAACTATACCATTAGTAAAGTTTGATACTGTCATAGTCTGTTCAGGCTGCTATAACAAAATACCACAAACTGGATGGCTAATAAACAAATAAAAACAATGGTCCTGGAGGCTGGAAATCCAAGACAAGGGTGCCAGTATGTTTGGGTGAGAGCCCTCTTCTGGGTTGTACATTGACTTGGTGCCATCTGTTTTATTACAGGACTAATCCCATTTATGAGGGCTCCACCTTCATGACCTAATCACCCCCAAAGCCCTGCCTCTTAAAACCATCACTTTGGGTGTTAGAATTCCAACATGTGAATTCTGGGGGGACACAAACTTTCAGACCATAGCTGAGTCCAAGAGATACTACCTGCCAATGTTAAGTAACATAAAGAAGTAAGCAAACAGAACCCAGGGAAGCTGAGGAACACAGCCAACCAGCCAGTGTCCACTGAAGTGAATTCTAAGAGGATTATCTTGTTTGGTGATAACTTAATGAGATATCACTATATTATAGATTCATCTATAGCCAGTGAAGATATCTGTTCTGCTTAGAACCCCAAACTTGAAGACAATAGAAAATAAAATTCTACCCACTGTCTTAGGAAAAACAAAACTAATTGCTTATTTAGAAGTTTTATTCCTATGTATAAATAAGCATGAAAGAATCAGTAGGAAGAACTTGAAGAGTAAAGAAGACAGGAATAGTCTTAAGTCTTATTAGATACTAACATACCATAAAGCCTCTTTACATAAAATTGTGGTACAGACACATGAATAGATGGCTCAATGAAACAACAGAAAATACCAAAGTTGACTGGATCACATATGAAAATTGAGTATACGATATATGTGCCATCTCAAATCACTGTGGGGCGAAATGGTGTTCTACATAAATGGTGTTCGGACAAAGAGATAGACATTTTGAAAAGAAACACATGAAGCCCATAACTTGCACCATATCCCAGAACCAGAATAAACTTTACATGTGTCAGAGATCAATATATAAAATTTTAAACATCCAGGAATAGGAGAAAACATGAATGACTTTTAAAAATAATCTGGATATATAGAATTACTCAAAATCCAGAAGTAATATCAAAAACTTTTTTTCTACATGGAACATTTTAAAAATGGAGGCCAAAAAAAAAACCCCACAAGCAAATCAAAATAATAAACTAGCAAAATGTTTGCAAAATATATCATAGATATAAGTGAATCTCCTTAACAAATGCAATAAAAATGATCAAGAGACATGAGCAGGTTTTTTTTTTTTTTACAAACAAATGGCTATGAAAATATGCTTAACTTCAATCATAAAAAGAACAAATCACAACAACACTGAGGCACCGTTTATCACCTATCAGATTGGCAAAAGTTTAAAAGCTTGACACAATCTGTTAGCCTGACTGGGAAAACAGGTACTTTCATATGTAGCTGGTAGAAGTGCAAAATGGTACCATCTCTACAGAGGGATTTTGGCACCATCTAACACCTATTTATCAATTTACCATTTGACCCAGCAATACTGCTTTTGGGAATTTACTTAGAAATTCTTGTTTAGAAGTTACTTACAAGGCTACAACTAAGAAACAACATAAGCATAGTTTTTCGTTGTAGCATTTGTAAAAGCAAAATATTGTAAACAGCCTACATGCCCTTCCATATAGTGGCACATCAATATAGCAGTCCTATGTAGACACAGAAAAAGAATAAAGAAGATATCTATGAACAAGTATGAAATGATTTCCAGATAATATTTTTATATTAAGTGAAAAAGGAAGGTGTAAACTATTACATATAATATAAAAAGTATACACATGTTTGCATTTAACTTGTATATATAATACATGTGTATATACATGCAAACATATATGTGTATATATAATGTTTTTACTTAGTTTTACAAAATATATATATATATAATGTTTTTACTTAGTTTTACAAAAATAAA